CCAACATAGAACTTTTGAATTATTGAAATTGTTAGGTCTTCAGAAGTTGTAAGTATGGTTGCATTGAAATTCTTGACATATTTTGCTCCAAATCTCATCATAAAAAATCTTTGCAAATTTCGATCTGCTCGAATTTTCACTAGATAAAACATTTCTGCTCTGACACCACAAAAAGTGAATTTCCATAGTATTGAACTAGTGAATGCGATACGTTTGGTCCTGATAAGATTATCATTCACACTCAATCTATTTAGTTTAGCAGCTTCATATTAGTCTGAGTTTTCCAATAGTCTGTGCTATTTTATTATTTCTTATAAACGGATCAAAGTGGGAAAACTCTGCAGTGAGTACAGGAAAATCACACAATCCCAATGGTGACTGAATGAAGAATGTTAGCCAAAATACTCTCAAAACATGAGATATATCGAAAATTGAATTTAATGAGCTCAGTTTGAGATATTTTTTTACCATTAGTTTCACAACTTTCAGTTCATTTTCATTTCAAGTCACAATAATTTACTCTTCACAAGTTAGCATTCTCATTCTTTTATATGTTATATTTATTGTGTACCCTTTCATATTTTCTTTATATCATTTCCTTTTCTTCATCAACTAACTGAAACAGTAATTTTGAGACTTCATTCATATATTTACGCTTAGATTTTCGAATCTAGATTCAAAAATCTTCTTTTGATATTCAATATAGTATTAGCAGTGTTAATTTCGCTTAATCAGCCCTGATCAATTCATTTTTTCTGTATTCATCAGTTTTGAAAAGACTCCTGCCTGAACATTTGTTTGAGGACATAGTCAAAACAAATTTCAACATAGCTCTTTTATTCATATATAAAAATACATATAGACACAACAACCATTGATTTTATTATATTTTTCAATGTAAAATTTATACATATTTAAAAATATTCAACAATTGAGATATAACAGTAAAATTGTAAAATTTGATAATTATAAACGGGAAAATTATAAAATACCTAATTATTTTCATCGAAATGAACTAGTATTTAACCCTCATTTTGAATATTTTACCTTCATTCGGATTTATTGTTTCAAATTAGCATTTTCAAAGTAATGTGATATTTGTCAGGTTAACTTCACAAAAACTTTATAATAGTATAATAATCTCATAGGGTCTCAAGACCATTTTTGATAAACCTAGAAGTATGTAGCTATTAGGGATCGTTTATGACAATTCCACTGTTTTTTTTTCATTATATTTAAGCAAAATGGATCCTGATCTTACAATCAGTTATGATTATTTGGCACGTAACGTGAGAGAGTAAGAACTTCATTATTCATTTATGTACGATCAATTCTATTAATTCTGAAATATTTTCATTTACCTTTTCAAATTATGATAAGTATAAGTGCTTGTTATTTTCTTTACGCCCAGTTATGTGATGGAACACATCACTTCAAATTGTCGAAGATTTTTGAGGAATATTAAAACTTCGAAATCATGCAATGCAGAAATGAAATGTTGGGACAAACAATGGATTTATAGGAGTTTTACTGAATAGTATCACAAAATACCTCTGACTAGAAGAACTTGAAAAAATCACTGAACATTTTTTTAGGGATGACACCCTTCCTCATCAGTGACGATAATCTAATACAGGGTGATATGAAATAAAATGGGTTTCTGGTTATTCAGTTGTTTCAATATGAACAATAACCCTAAAAATTGTGCGAGGTAGATATTAACGAGGTCATATCTTTCAACTGGTTCCTAGTGTGTATGAAGATATTATAACGAAAGTACTCACAAAAATCATTCATTCGTTCTTATAATAAAAGTGCTTTGTGAAACCGCACATTTCCAAACCACAGTGTTTGATTACTGAATGCAATCATGCTATATAGACATTGATCTGAATGAAATAAAATACAAAATAGATATTTGAGGAAAGAAATAGTACATTTGGTTCCAATTTCTCAACTTTTCATTTTTTGTTTTATTTATATTCTGCACTGGATAACAAATATCTTAATGTTGTATGTTTTGTTTCATTTACATACTGAATTTTTAAAGAAAATGCAATTACCCTGTTCGTATTCAGTAAGGACCCACGCTGGCAGTCATCTCTACAATCCACTGCATGATGTTAGCGTGTTAGTCATGTTATTGAAAACAAATTGTTCACATGGTATCAGGAATGTAAAATTATATTCACATTCTTCTATAGGATGAAATCCGATTGCCCTCATATTACTTATCTGTTATTTTATTGGATATGTTCTCTCAATAAATCATGAAGAAGAGTAAATTATTTTATTTTCGATCTGAAATTATGTTCAAGAATCATTTACTTACTGACTATTATTTGATGGAAAATGCATATTTTTACTAGTGGTGTTGAATGGGTAAAAACAGGCAACACAAGCACATTCTTATCATTTTTGTTCATTTACAATATGTAATATAGAAACAAATGACATATTGACAATTTCCTAACAATCAAAACAATTATGTTGAGATTTAGATAATAATAATTAATGAAATGACATGAACTGACAACTGAAATGACATGTGAAGGTTAGTCATCTGACTTCAGTCAGATGGGAAATAAACAGAACTTAAGAATCTGTTTGTTTGACAATAACACTTCATCCAATCTACTGTTGGTATAAAATTGAAATTGTTTTAATACAGTTCAAACATTTCACATAAGTTTATAGAAAATATCTGAAGTTTTCCTGTAATGTTGGGTTACAGACTTGAAATATTTGACAATAACATTGCTATTACTGATTAACAAGTGGATACATATGTATTATTTTTCATGATTTGTTTTTATGAAGAAACTTTTGTTAGGTTTGAAAAATAGGGCTTGCTACAGGCAAATTTATGCACTCAGAGATTAGCAGATATCCAGAAACAAATAAGATTCAGAAATGGTCATTGAATAACGAACACAATTTGAAAAAATCGAAGAAAACTGTGAAATACAGTGAAATACAGCTTGATCTTTTTATAATGTGTCCATAGTAAGAAGAGCCAGCATCGAAAAATTTAAAACCGCAAGAGATACAAAGACTGTTACATCAGATGAAAGTTTTCCCTATTTAAAACTTCTGTAAATGACCCCTTTGAAATTTACTGATTTATGATTATTCATCAGTGAAGTTGTCGACAAAAAAAATTAACTTTCTGTGAGTTATAGGTGGGACAAGTAAAAATTTTGGAAAATAAAAACATCAACCCAAATGGGGAAATAATTTGCCATGAGTATTCATATGTCTTCAATTCATTCAGGAACTGATTACGACTGAGATCTTTCCTAATAAAACATCTTGCAAAAAAATTAGACAAGAAAATAGAAAAAAATGCAATTTCCGGAAATAGGATCTCTATATGCAGAGGTGATTAACTTCTATATGGAAATGATTTTTTTATTTCAACAGGGTCCATTATTTGGTAATAACCAACAAATTAGTTTGTTTTGTACGGTGGCAAATGTATGATAAAATGTACCAGAATGAATGACTTCGAACCCTATTATAAAACAGGGGATTGATCTCAAGTTTACTTTTCCACAAATTCATACAGTATGACAAAATGAATGACTCTTTTCTGTAAAAGGAATTTTTTTCTATTTTTCTGTCCCATTGATATCTAATTTTATAAAAGCCACACCCATTTGAGTTATTGTTTTTACTTTTACAGTTGACATGATTGTATTTTCAGTGACCTTCTACTGATACAATTGAATTAAGTAAATGGTCCTTGCGGAATTTTCTAAAAACTATATAACAACTGAAATCACTAGGATTTTATCCTTCGATGTAGGTCTGATACATCGTTCATGTAGTATTCGCTGACACTGGTGATTCTTCCAGTTCCATTCGATGTTTGGTGATTGTTTTCAGTATTTTTGTTTCTTACATATCCGTTTTGTTTGGATATACCATTACTAACACCATTTTGAATGAGAACGTTTTGAGATATACTCGAGGCGGATTTTGCATTCCTTCTCAGGTAAGCTTGATTGTAGAATTCTTTGAAGAGAAAAAAGAACATAACAGCATGCATACCAATCCACCATACAAAAGCACGGGGGTAGTTGCAATCAGTGAAAAGCAACTGGAAGGCGTGAATCATAATGGCAACAAATTGAACCTATAAAACAAAAGTATTTCAGTCGAGTATAACTTATTGGGGTTTTCACTGGATCATATTTGGGGACGAGTGACAGTTTAAGAAAAAAATCATCTGATATTGAGGGGGTGTTTTATTATGACAGGGGTATATCGAGAGACATCATTTCATCATCAAAATTTTCCACTAAGTTGTAGTGACAATTCAGTTTTCAATATACTTATCATTTGCTTAGTAACACTTTTCAATAGTTCATATCCGGGGACAAGTGACAGTGTACTGGGCCCCAAAATTCAAGTTTGAATAAATGACAGTGTAGGGACTTTTCCTACAACTGCTTTATATAAAAACATGTAAATTCTTTATTGTCAAACAGTCATCCAAATCGAACACTGTAATCGAACACTCGAAAATTGAGTAGTCGAATTCTCGAAATGTGCGTTGGCTAACCTGAACTTCCGGGTCGCCACCTGAGGAGAAATTCAGAGAAGGAGTTCTTTCTGATGCCAACTGTGGAGTAAGTAACATCGAATCCATTCACTGAGGGCTAGGCCTGCAAACACGTGGTCTCCGTTCTGCAAACCACGTGGTCCCTCAAATTCTTCTTGCTATTTTGCTGTAGTGTTTTGTAGTGGTGTTGTGTTAATAAATATTATCGTTGAACACGTGTAAATAATAATTTTCACCGTCTCGACATTGGTGACCCCGACGTGATTATTTCTTTTGTGAGTGACGGTGACACAAGTAAATTTTACGCGTCGTTTCCAAATATTGACTATAACAGCTATAAAAGTAAGTACCCTGTGAATTTCACGCGTCGTTGTATACATAAACAATACAGTTTTCAAACTGTCTGAACAAGTCCTAGTAATTAGTCGCTACAATGCCAAACAGTAGCCCCGAATCCGCGAGTGTGGCGTCTGCGCGTCTCAGATTACCTGCGTTTACTGTCAATGACCCGGAGCTATGGTTCCAACGGGTCGAGTGGATTCTAGAAGACACCGGCGTCAAAACCAGCTCCGAAAAGTTCCGCGAGCTCGCAAAGTCGTTCGACGACCGAGAGGCCGGCGAGGTTCGCGACCTAATTCTCAACCCGCCAGCGGATAGGCCCTACGAACAGCTTAAAGACACACTGCTTCGACGCCTGGTGAAGTCACAAGCACAGAAGACGCGTCAACAACTGGAGCGCGAGGACATCGGCGATAGGACGCCATCACAATTTCTGCGGCACCTACAGGCACTTGCAGGCCCCTCAGCAGCCGACGACATCATCCGGACAATGTGGATGGACCGTATTATTCCACTTGTTCGCGCCAGCCTCGCAGTGCAAGTAGCACAACCAGGAGTCAGCCTCGACGACTTGGCGAGGACCGCCGATTCTGTCACGGATGCAATGGGAGCTATCGCGCCCCAACAAAGAGTCTCAGCAGTGTCGAGTACTACCGAATCATGGTTGCGTGAGGAATTTTCGCGGTTATCAGCACAACTTGCCGAACAGCACCGCGAAATCAATGCCCTTCGGGCCGAAAGGAGACAGAGACGCGGCCAACAACAATCGCGTGACCGCTCATGCTCGCGAAATCGCATGCGTTCGCAATCGGTCAGCCGGGTTGATGGTTTATGCTGGTATCACCACCGATTCGGTAGGGACGCATATAAGTGCCGGCAACCATGTGCATTCTCCGCGAGCGCTATGGACACGGGAAATGCACCGGGCAGTCGCTAATGGCGGCAAGTGACAGCTGCCCCACCGCGCGCCGCTTATTTTTAAAAGACAGGGACAGTGCCTTAGATTTCTTAATAGACACAGGTGCCGATTTGTGCGTGTTTCCGCGTAAACTTGTTCGTGGCCGTCGAGTGAAAACCGGGTTCGAGCTATCCGCGGCTAACGGTACAACTATCGCCACGTACGGCCCAATCCCGATGACTCTCAACCTGGGTCTCCATCGCGATTTCATGTGGAACTTTGTGATCGCGGATGTGTCTAAGGCGATTATCGGTGTGGACTTCCTATCCCATTTTGACCTCCTCTTCGATTTGCGCAACGGACGCTTGCTTGATCGCACGACGAGTCTGAGTGTAGTGGGACAGGAATTGAAGTGCGCGACAGTCGCTGGAATCAAGACAATCACTGGCAGCTCGCGATACAATAAGCTGCTTCAGCAGTTCCTGGCAATCACTCGTCCCGATGGTGCGTGCAAAATTACGGACAACGTGAAGCACAAAACGGTGCACCATATTCATACGACGCCAGGTCAGCCCGTCGTCGCCAAACCGCGACGCCTTCCCCTGGATCGACTCAACGCCGCCAAGAAGGAGTTCAGTCCATGCTGCGACTGGGCATCTACCGCCCTTCTGAGAGTAGCTGGGCTTCTCCTCTCCACATGGTGCCTAAGAAAGAGGACGAATGGCGTCCCTGTGGCGACTGTCGTGCTCTCAACGCCCGCACGATACCGGATCGCTACCCAGTGCGACACATCGAAGACTTCGCCCAGACGCTGCGCGGAAAAAAAGTTTTCTCCACTATCGACCTGGTCCGCGCCTATCACCAGACCCCGGAAGCTCCAGAGGATATCCCGAAAACGGACATCACTACGCCATTCGGGATGTTCGAGTTCCCAGCAATGAGCTTCGGTCTCCGCAACGCAGCACAGACCTTCCAGCGATTCATCGATGAGAAACTACGTGGACTGGACTTCGTTTACGCATACATTGACGACCTCCTTGTTGCATCCGAGAACGATANCTGCTGTTCGAACGTCTACAGGAGTCCGGCATCGTAATCAACACATCCAAATGCTGTTTCGGAGAGCCAGAAGTGAAGTTTCTTGGATACCTTGTGTCTGGCAAAGGCACGCAACCGCTTCCTGAGAAGGTCTCCGCAATCCAGGAGTATCCAGGGCCCGAAACAGCAAAAGACCTCAGGCAGTTCCTAGGCATGATTAACTTTTACAGACGTTTCATGCGTAGGACTGCTAGGACCCAGGCCCCACTCAATGACATACTTGAGAACAATATCAAGGGGAAGAGGCCAATTACGTGGAACGACACCGCCGAAGCTGCCTTCACTGCCTGCAAGGACACCCTAGCCAACGCCACACTTCTTGCCCATCCGAAGCTCGGCACCAAACTCTCCTTGGTCTGCGACGCGTCGGATCACACCGTTGGAGCCGCCCTACATCAGATGGACAACGGCGAATGGGAACCTCTGGGTTTCTTCTCCAAGAAACTGAGCAATGCTGAGGCCAAATACTCTGCCTACGACCGGGAACTTCTAGCAATCTACAAGGCCGTCAAGTACTTTCGACACATGGTCGCCACTTCACAGTCCTGACCGATCACAAGCCACTGACTTTCGCCTTCCGCCAGAAGTCTGACAAGTGTTCCCCGCGTCAGTTCCACCACCTGGATTTCATCAGACAGTTTACCACCAATATCCAGCACATCTCTGGTAAGGATAATGTTGTCGCGGATGCTCTCTCCCGAGTTGATGCCATCACTACGCCACTCGACTTTGAAGCCCTCGCAGCGTCTCAGCAACAGGACCAGCAGCTCCAGGAACTCCGTCAGAGAAATGACTCTGGCCTAAACCTGCGTCAAGTGACCATACCTGGATCAAACGCTGCCATCCTCTGCGACGTCTCCACGACGACGGCGCGGCCATTCCTGACAGCCGCCTTTCGCAGACGAGCCAGAGCGACCACCAAGCTCGTCAGACAGCGCTATATCTGGCCCTCCACCAACGGAGATTGTCGCGCTTGGGTTCGCGCCTGTATCCAGTGCCAGCAGTCCAAGATTTCACGACACGTATCAACACCCATTGGCAACTTCTCAGCACCTTCTAGACGGTTCGAGCACGTCCTCATCAACCTCATCGTTATGCCCTACTCCGAGGGATATAGGTATTGTCTTACCTTCGTCGATCGCTTTTCACGATGGCCAAAAGCAATACATCTCCGAGACTAGGAAGCCGAGACCGTTGCCAGAGCGTTCTACTCCACCTGGATCGCACGTTACGTCGTTCCACATACACATACGCTCCCGACCGCTCTCCTGGGGATTCGTGCAGCTTAGAAGGAAGATCTTCAGGCCACCGCTGCAGAAATGATGTACGGAGAACCACTCCGGACTTCCTGGCGAGTTCCTAGCATCAACCTCCACCAGGGACATAGACGACGCGGCCGACTTCATACGTGAGCTACGCCAGCACTTCCAGGCACTCAGGCCAGTCAGCAGCACCAGGCACGGCGAGCGAAAGCTCTTTGTCTTCAAAGACCTCGCTACCGCCAGCCACGTCTTCGTCAGGCACGACGCTTCAGGAGAACCGCTTCAGCTGCCCTACGATGGACCCTACGAAGTTGTTTCCCGAGCCGAGAAACACTTCACTCTTGCAATGCGAGGCAGAAACGTTCCAGTATCCATCGACCGCCTCAAACCAGCCTACATTATCCCCGAGGACATCGCTGCACCCGAAGATGACCTGGATGATGACGAAACCTTTATTCCTACAACTCCAGGAGATAATCAAGCTCCGTTACAACAAGAACCAGCATTATCACCTGCCTTCAGGACGCGCTCAGGTCGTCGTGTTCGATTCACCGAACGCTACCAGGCAGGCTTCAATTAAATAATTTTGCAACCTATTCTTTCATTTTGACGATTCAATTAGTAATCACAAGAAGAAATAAATTGCAAACCTTTTTTTTCTCTCATCCACGCAAATTTCACAATTCTCTTTGAAAGTTTCATACAGTTCGATAAATTTTTGCACATTCACGTTCAAATACTCAAAAAAAATTGAATTTCTCTCGTTTCATCATTTCTTCATCACAATTGGATTTCAATTTAAAACTCGCGATTCAACTTCAACATTTCACGAATTGTATCTTTGCAAAAATCTATTTATTTGGGAAATACAATTCCAATTTCAGCCTCATTTTCATTGTTGCAAAAATGTATTCACCTATCAGGAACTCAAATGGATCGCACTTAGTATTCTTTCTTAATACTTCAGTTTACGAAATTTTATTTTCCTCATATATCATATTCATTCTCAATGTTATATCGTTCACTACTGGCAGGGAGGTACTGTAGGGACTTTTCCTACAACTGCTTAGTATAAAAACATGTAAATTCTTTATTGTCGATCAGTCATCCAAATCGAACACTGTAATTGAACACTCGAAAATCGAGTAGTCGAATTCTCGAAATGTGCGTTAGCTAACCTGAACTTCCGTGTCGCCACCTGAGGAGAAATGCAGAGACAGGAGTTCTTTCTGATGCCAACGGTGGAATGAATAACACCGAATCCATTCACCGAAGGCTAGGCCTGCAAACACGTGGTCTCCGTTCTGCAAACCACGTGGTCCATCAAATTCTTCTTGCTATTTTGCTGTAGTGTTTTGTAGTGGTGTTGTGTTAATAAATATTATCGTTGAACACGTGTAAATAATAATTTACCTATCACCGTCCCGACAATAATATGATCGCCGGCTGCTTCAACACTGCTCAATGATTCAGCCGATTCAAACACGATGAAAGCGAAGCCTCTTGACCGTCCAGTAGTAGGATCTATTGTGATTTTGATGTGTTCAATCTCACCGTACTGTCCAAAGTGCTCACGTAATTCTTTTTCACTGGTTTGGAAATGCATTCTTCCGACGAATAATTTTTTGGCGTAGGCATTACCACCATCTACTGTTGGAGGGCCACTGGAAGCAATAGCTGCGCTAACAGAAGCAATGCTTCAACCGATTTGAACACGATGAAAGCGAAGCCTCTTGACCGTCCAGTAGCGGGATCTGTTGTGATTTCGATATATTCAATCCCAACGTATTGTCCAGAGTGCTCACGTAATTCTCATTTACCGATTTGGAAATGCTCTGAGTGTCTGCTATGGTTCGAAACTGCGAGAAATGAGATTTGATGTCGTCATCGGTAAGCTCAGCAGTTAATATACCAACGAAGATTCTGTTCTGTCTACCCTTTGCCTTCTTGGGGTCAAATTTTTTGCCGTTGATATGATCGCCGGTTGCTTCAACATTGCTCGATGGTTCAACCGATTTGAACACGATGAAAGCGAAGCCTCTTGACCGTCCAGTAGTGGGATCTGTTGTGATTTTGATATGTTCAATCTCACCGTAATGTCCAAAGTGCTCACGTAATTCTTCTTTACCGGTTGGAAAATGCTCTGAGTGTCTGCTATGAATCCAAACTGTGCGAAATGAAATTTGATGTCGTCATCGGAAAGCTCAGCAGTTAATCCAACGACGATGATATTGCCCTTTCAACCCTTTGCCTTTTTGGGGTCAACTTTTTTGCGGTTGATAATATGATCGCCGGTTGCTTCAACATTGCTCAATGCTTCAACCGATTTGAACACGATGAAAGCGAAGCCTCTTGACCGTCCAGTAGCGGGATCTGTTGTCATTTTGATATGTTCAATCTCACCGTATTGTCCAAAGTGTTCAAGTAATTTTTTTACCGGTTTGGGATGCTCTGAGTGACTGCTATGGTTCCAAACTGCACGAAATAAGATATGATGTCGTCATCGGTCAGCTCAGTATTTAATCCATCATCGAAGATTTTGCCCTGTCTACTCTTTGCCTTTTTGGGGTCAGATTTTTTGCCGTTGTTATGATCGCCGGTTGCTTCAACATTGCCCAATGCTTCAACCGATTTGAACACGATGAAAGCGAAGCCTCTTCACCGTCCAGTAGTGGGATC